TTAAATCTCCTTTGCATCCTGGCCAGGTGGCTTAGTCAGTTGGAGCATCATCCCAAAAGATCACAGGTTTGATCCCTGGTCAGGGCAAATAACTAGGTTGCAGGTTCAATCCCTAGTCAGGGAACATATACAAGGCAACTCACCTATGTTTCTCTCTCTCTCTTTCTCTCTCTCTCTCCCCCTTCATCTCTCTCTAAAATCAATAAATATATCCTAAGGTGAGGACTTTTTTTAAATCTCCTTTGCTATAAACAAAAAAAAAACTCCTTTGCTTAGATCTAAGTGCTATTCGTTCTTTACCCAACCTCTACAATACTGTTTCCTTTATCAAATACAAAAGTCCTGAATAGCAGTGAAATTCCTCTTATTTTAACAAAAAACTTTCCAAAATGCCCAGCATGTATTATAATCTATAAAAGCCCCCTTTTCCTAAAACTATTCACTTATAATAAGACATACTGAGAGAATTTTCATTTCTTTACAAATAACAGACCAGAAAAACATCTTCAGAACTATCTTGACATTCCTGACCCTTTCAAACACAATGACAGAAAACTGCCATGGGGGAAAAAAAAAGACCTCTGAGTCCCACACAAAAGGTAATTAGTGTTTTAAAAGCAGAGTGAGCATACATGTGAAATATATATTATGTAGTTACACAAACTAAATTATTAACTTTCCAACTTGGCATTAGGACAGGGTAGTTGAGAGAGAACGTAAAAGAAAATACTCAGCTTAAAATTAACAATGGGCCCATTTATTCAAGGTAAGATGGTTCTCTCATTTCAGCTTGAGAGAACTGAAAGTCTCTTTTTATCCGCCTCTAGGACGGAAACTGCAGCTAGCCCATCTGGAGAATCACTCAGTTATATTCACAGCTTCACTCACAGTCAAGCAATGGCAAGAAAAGTCTTCTTCACTTAGCACTGAATACCAACACAGAGAAATGTGACTCTGAGGTGTTTAAATTTCACCCTTCAAGGACCCAGTTCAATTAATTTCTCCTGCTGGAAGCTGACCCTGACAAATACAAAAAGATCTATGCCCACAGAAACTGAGAAACACTTATCTGTACCTTTGCCATTTCCTTAAACACTGTCCAGTACTGTACTAATTTCTTTTCTCCACAACCTTTGTACACTCCATTACTCTATATCTTTTTCAGTGGCTCCTAGGAAGTATTCCTTTAACTGCTGAATGAATAAATTCACAGCCAAGTACTTCACAACTCTTTCTCTGTTCTATGTTGTACTCTCAGTCAAACAGGGCTCCATACTACAGGAAACAGTAAATATCTCCTGCTTTTCAAACCCAACTAAAATCTTGTCTGAGCTGGTAACAAGTGACCCTCCCCTAATTCTTGAGAATCAAAGTTATTATCTGGGTATTAAAATGTCTGACCTCATTCTTATCTGCTAAAGAAATACCACAGATTTGTTTATGGAGAAATGGGAGATCATCCTTAGGAAATCCAAATACTGGAATTTAAGTAAAATAGTCTAACATCACATAGAAAATAACATGGAGCAGAGTACTTCAAGTTTAGGATACTGTATTTAAAAGATGTTATTCACAAAAATATTATCCTGCTTGTAATTTCATCATGAGAAACATCAACTTGCCAAAATATGATCTTGAACATGCAACAAATCTCCTATTTCTTAGAAAATATACTGGCAAAGACTAACAAACCCACACTGCAACAATGAAACCCATCCCTACATTCTATGGTTTCAAGGTAATTCCATAAATGCAAGGTCATAAAAAGAGCCTGCAAACTCTTGTAGTCAGCACTCCAGTTTAAGAATAGGAAATTGAAAACAATGACTCGTGATGATGAGCTTATGGCAATCTGACATTCTCTCTGAGCTTACAGAAATGATGAACCTTATCTTAGAAATCAACATACTAAAAAACATGCAAAATTAGTACAATATAGGTGATGAACAAGTTTGGGTGAAATGTTAAAATTTTATAGTCCATATTTTTAAGGTACAAGTAATCAGCATATTCATATGCCAGTAGCAATAAAATCTAAAAACAAAAAAGGAGAATATTCAAGTCCAGCCAACAGCTTATTTATGTCAAATGTGTTCAATATCAGAGGTCCAACATTACAAAACAAGGTAAATAGCCCTCTGAAGTCCAAAATCATAATACTGGACCAAGGAAACATTGTACTCCTTTGAACTCTAACTATAAAGACGCAGCTTCCTAGCTGGGATTTTCTTTTTTCAATTCCAACAGATCGCAAGTAAAAAATATATAACTGTTATGTTCCCTACAATTACTGGGGATTTGATGTTTCAAGTCTCTAACTAATTACTCTTTTTGATTTTATTATATTATAATAAATGAAAGAGTACTAGGTGCTAAGAATTTCATACACACTATTACAATAAGAGAATCACTAAATTACATGTTTTAAGGTGTGTTCAGGTTGTAATTGCTTCGTGATACTGTTGATCTAGTGACCACTAAAATATTAATATATTACATAAAAGGCAGAATAAATATAACCAGAGAACTAATAAGATGAAGTATAACATCAATAATTTTACTGTAACAATATAAATTAATAACGAGGCACACAACTTTATTAGGCAATGTTACTAGGCATGTTTGAACCACACAAGGGGTTAAAAATAACTACAATGGAAAGCCAAGAGCCCAGCAGAAGTTGAGCCAACATTCCCTCCTCTCTTCCCCCTCCCCTTCCCATCTTCTCCAATCCAGAATGAATTGCATGCCCCACTGCACAAGGCCCAAAAAGGTCACAGGAGATGGCAGAGACTTTTGTAAGAGAACAGAAATAACTCAGCAGCTTTGTTACCGGGCTTCTTTTAATCAGTATGTTCAAAATCCTTTAATTAGCACTCTGTCTACACAAGGAAAGCATTTCTTCTGTGCCAGGGGAGGGCACGTATGTATGTACACAGTGTTCTGTTTTATCAGCATCACAACATGGAGCTAGTGCCTCAAATTGTCTGCCAGGGAACTGAAGCACAGAAAACTTTTTAAAAAGCATGGTACCACATATTTACATACCAATTTGCATTTATATTACCAAACAACAGAGTGATTATTAAATTTGTTTTATTTAGGCATCAATTTATTTCTGGACTTTTTTTTTCAGCGAAAATGGAAGTACTGTTAATGAAAAAACTTTTTTTAGTCCATTATCAAAAAGTAGGATATTCAAACTTAATATGAAATAATGTTAACAAAACATAAAAATGGAAAATATTCAAATGTTGTTCCCTTCTTCATAATAGGTCTTCAGTAGGGGGAAAAAATGCCTCACTCAAAGAGGAATAAATCACAAGGCACATTTTTACATGGATGCTTTACTTTTAAAATTTCATCCAACTACAAAAAGTCTTAAAACTTGCAGGCTGGATTAAATGTGCGTATTTCCTTGTAAAATCTGAAAAACTGAAATCAAGACAGAAAGTAGTGATAAATTAGTGACAACTATTTATAAATCCACAGCCAGGATCACTTCATTAGTAAGATAGGATTTGCCATATTTTGATAGACATGTAAGTGTTACAAACTTATTTTTAACCTTTCAAAATCAAGTTGAATATATACTGTAAGAAGCAGTGTGTGTATATATACACTTATGTAATTAAACAAAATAATAACCTTCTAAATGTCTGATTATAGAAACAATCTATTTTAATTTAAGATAAGGTTTATTATTAGGGAGGCAGCATAACGTAATTGCTTGAAAGCCAGTTCTTCCACACCAGTCATGTGAGCTCATAGACAGTTCTGGACAATGGGAGTAATACCACTATTTGGCAGAATGGCATGAGTATTAAAGAAGATGATGCATGTAAAGCAGTTAGCAAAAATCCAAAAATTTGACAGTAAGGCCATCTGGGGGCAGGGGGAGGGATAAGTATTTTTATGTACAGCACACAAGTGTAAGTTAGCATGACCTATCAAAATTATATACTTACATATGTAAAACTATGCAGATATGGTATCCACTGCAGCACTGTTTGCAACAGTAATATTGGAAACAATATAAATGCCCTTCAATAGTGCATGGTTAAATAAATGTTACCTCCCTACATGAAAATTCTATTTAGTTGTTAAAAAAAAAACTTCAACATATTAACAGGGAAAGTTCTTCATGGTAAACTGCTAAGAAAAAGCACAGTGTGAAACAGTGTGTACAATATACTACCATATAAGTAAAAGGGTAGTAAATGTTCACATTTATTTCAATATACAAAAAAAAACCCTCTGGAAAGTTATACAAGTAATTAAGAGCAATAACTACCTACTGATGATGAAACTGAAACAGTACCTGACACAGTCAAGCCCCAATAAATGAAAGTTATAATTGCTACCTTCATGATCACGAGGAGAACATCCTTAAAATGTGTATACAGAATCCATTCAAACTAAACTCTTACTAATGTAAACAGCCAAATCTCAATTATTCATAAACTGACTAGTTAGAGAGCCAAGACTCCCATTTCTTCTTCAAAGGTAAGTAGCTTTTGGCCATTTTACTATGGGCTATCACCTTCACCAGAAAGTAAACTGAGGAATAATATCAAAGACAGTCATTTCATTAATACTGATCAACAGTTTTTAATAAACAGCATTGGAACTGAAAGGGACCAAGAAATTCCATAGTACGACCTTCTAATGTTACATATGAAGAAACTAAGTAAGATCCAGAGAATTTCTGAAGTAATTACAGTTGAAAGATCTGAAGGCTATCCCCTAATTAAATGCTTTCCATTGTATCGTTAAGATGACGAAGGGAAACTGAAAATAAACAAAACTGAAATTAATTATCCTTGCTAACTTCCCTTTCCACCACATCTTTTATTACAGGTAACTAAGTCTGCTCAGATCAAATCCCATAAGCAACTGTAGTAAGTAGAGAACAGGTCAACCAGAGATAATTAGTCCTGAGGTTTCCAGGATTAAGCACTGAATGAACATCTGTAACAAAATCTGTAAAGTCTGCTTACACTAGAGATTGTCAGAGGCATGTTGAAATCCTTGCCACCTTGCAGCCGGAAACCCCAAGGAGCTGGGCCAACCAACGACACGCTGTAGTTGCTCATGGTTCTAATGGCTCAAAGTCCAATCCCAGAAAGTGAAACTGTGAAAAGAAATTCAAAGGGTTTGAAAAATGTTTATTTGAAGCCCTATTATATATTTAAATGCATTTAATATAAACCTAAGTAAATTATGTTCAGTATTTTGTTTGTGGGGAAATGAAGGGCTACAGAGAAAAAGTCTTTATTATGTTCTTACTTCAACCTAAAGAAAGAAATATATGAGCTAATATACAATTTCTAAACTCATGCCAATTTCCATAGCATAAAAATTCCACATCAGAATATATATTTCTAGACACTTGATCAGTTGTACAACTTGCTACAATTTGCGGCTTCTTGCATATAAACTTTAACTCAAAGTACTTTACAACATTTTGTTATATGTAAAAAATAACAAGATTTTATTTCAAGTTTAATTCAAAATGGTTTTCTCCTTTCCTCTACCTCATACATTCTTTTGCCTGTAATTGGCAAGAGTCCTTCAATTTCACTTACTTAAATTCCAAATTACTGTAACATATGAAAAGGAATCCTAATTCATACTCTCATTCATGCTTACTAAATGCTCTAAAATGAGTTTTTTTTTAAATGTACAAAACTGTTCTCTCCAATCATAGGCTATAACTTGAATTTCCTCCTAGAGGGATGTGATATATTCACTTAAAGTAATACTTACTTTTTCTTCAGACAGGCCATGATAGGCAACACAGTGATATTTCAATCAGAGCCTGCTTTTCGTTTATGTACACACCTTACCAGGCAAAGCAGAAGGTGAGCATTTACCAGAGTGAGACTGACAAAGCATGGTAGGAGTATTTAATGCATGAAAGGGAACAGGGGCTTTAGAAAAGAATCAGCGCTTTAATGCCTTCTATTTTGTGTTTTGCTGTAAGTGTGCTCATGTTAACTCTCATGGCACTGATTTTATATAACAAAAAACTAAAGCAAAAAAGTATGCATTGTTGTTTGGGGCTGGTTGTTATGGCAGTTATAGGTAGATGGGAGGGAGAAAATGGGAGGAATGGAGATTTTCTTAGATGTACTGGTAATACTAAGAAACATAATATTTCTCTCTTTAAAAATATTAAAAACATAACACATGAATAATTTAATAATTTTAAAATCACTTTTTTAAAGAAAACTGTTTAAGACATACTTCCTTAAAAAAATTGTGCTGTTCAACTAAATCACCCTATATTACCTGTCTTAAATTATTTTTTAACCCATTCAAAATTTCTATCCCATCATACCAAATTGATAGTGGCAGATGTCGATATATGAACTACTGGGTATATTAAAAGCAAATACATTCCATCTTTTTCATAAAGGGAAAGTGAGGAAAACTTTCAGATAAGTCTGGGACTTAAAGAAAAATTAAATCAGTGAAAATCTGCATAGTATCTACCTAGAAACTAAATGAGTTTTTCCCATTGGCAGGGCAGTACACTGAAGTCCTATGTAAGAATACATTACTTCAACACTGATATAATAGGCACAGGGCCTTGAAAAGACCAAAGGCCAAGCCAGTAGCCAAACTGTTAGGTATACCTGAAAAATGAATAGTAGGAAGCTAATAAGGAGCCACACACAACTTAATTCCTTCCCCCATAATAATAAAAGAGAAGATTTTCACAGAACTAGAAAAGACTGTTTTGATATTGGCATATAATACAAATCAGAAGTGCATAAAGCCAACAGATATTTCACAGGCAGCCTGCCCTCCCTTCTATTTCAATCTTTTAACCTTTGTCAGGAGAAGAATGTTTAAGTTAGGCTCAACTTCTTCTGGTCTCACTGTTCCCTACAAGAAAATGTGTTTATGTATCCACGCACACACATTCAACCTCTTTTTATTTGGGAGTTCCCTTCCTGACTTCTCCCATTTGTTATCAAAGTTTCTAGCTCTGGCAAGGTCATAGCTACACTACAGAAACAATGTAATTTCATTTCCAATCAGTGTCATTTCTACTATCTCCCTCTGCTAGCTTTATTGCCTTAAAATATTCTGATCCCTTAAACAATGCTAATATTACTGGCCTTTTCCAGGTCTCCATCTGGTTATTAGTGCCCAAACTCTTCCTAAAATACCAAGCAGGCAGGAAATAGCAGCCTATTTTGCTTTCAAACTCGTAGAAAATGTTGGAACTTCTGTATAGTTCTGGATTTTCTCTTGGGGAAAGTCTAAACAATGTATTCGCCCTGGTACTTGGGAAGGAAGGTTGGTCATTTCCCACACTCCTATTCCAGTTTCTTTGAAGAATGAGAAGGGGGAAAAGAGAATTCATGATGAACTGCTCAGGGTAACAAGGGCCTGAAATTAAGGAGTTTTCTTCCCTATTGTGAGAGAGTGGAGGTAGGGCTTGAAAACTGAGGCCACAGGCACAGGATGAAAGCCGCCACGAGACAGTTTTCCAGCAGATGTTCTCGCCTAGCCCCGTTTGCCAAATAAGGCTCCAGCGCCGGCAGTTTCCGTGGCAGGCGGGTTCCGACGTCCTCCCGGTCAGGAAGGCGGACTTGGGCTAGGATCTGGCGTTCACACCCTAGCCCTGCCCTGCCCAGCGCAGCCACGAATTTTCTTTCCAAGTTCTGCCCTGGCTGTACGCCCTTCCTTTTCCCAGTTATTGTCAAGCGCACTGAAGACACAGTCTTACAAAAGCCCCAACGAGCACGCAAGTACTAATAAACCCAGGGTTCACGACAGATTTCTTTTTTTTTTTTTTAAAGAGGTTTATTTCCGGACGCACGAAAGTTTTCCCCAAACAGGTTACGAAATCCTAACTATCTGGGGGGAAATAAAAGCTGCTCAGCAGCGTGAGAGCAAACAAAAACTAACACGCCATTCCCATTGAGTCCGGCTTCCTTCCCACACCCCCCCAAGAGATTCGCGCCGGGCGTGGGTGGACCTGGACGCCCAGACCGGGGCCCGGATTCGGCCGGTGGGTCTGTGCAGGGTGCCCGGGGGCCTTTCTGCGCCCGGCCTCGTTATCCCGGGCGCCCCGTTCCTGCATCCCAGCCTTCGCCGCGCACGTCCCGGCCGGACCGGGATCCGGGGACCTCCAAAGCTCGTCCACTGGCCTCGCGCCCACTCCCGCGCTGCCCTTTCCCCAGCGCTCCTCTTCCCACGCCACTCTCCCACCTCCGCTGCTCCGCGTCCAGAAAACACCTGAGAAACCGCCCCGCTCAACGGGCGCCCCCTCTGTCTCCCCAGCAGGGCTTTCCTTGCGCTTGGCGCTAGGGGACCGCTACTTCCCCCCTCCCTTTACCCGGACTCAGAGACGCGCACCCCCAGTGGGTGACCGCTCACCTCTGGTCCAGCGACTCGATGCCTCCACTTCAGAGGAGCGCTGACAAGTGATTCGTAGTGCGTGCGCCGTCCTCACAACCCGCGGGAACTTCCGCCTCTTGGCTCAACCCCCCACGGCCCCGCCCCCGAGCGGGGCACGCCCCCTTCGCTCCCGGCCTCGCCCTTGGGCTGGGCGAGACTGCGCGGCGCGGTCAGGGAAGCCAGCCGCGAAGTCTAGCGCACGGGCTTGCTGGGGCGAGCTGAAGCTTCCGCGGAAAAACAATTGGGCTACCGAGTTTTGATGGGAGTAGCCTTAAGAATTTTCGAGCACTGCCTAGCAAACTTCTGCTCCCCGAGTTTGTTTTGCATTGAATGCATTTTTCTCTCCAGAAACTGAATTGGCAAGCAGTTGCTTTGTCTAAAAATAGAAGGGGGCTTTGGATAAATCCCCATCTACGCAAGTTCAACGGCTACTGCCTGGGGTGGGTGTGTGTGTGTGTGTGTGTGTGTGTGTGTGTGTTTGCTTTTTTTTGGGGGGGGTGTTGAGAGAGAGCTTAAAGTTTCCTGAGAAGCACAAACCCTCAAGTTTGCTTGTCAGGATGGTGAGAATCAGTAACTTGAATATCTACAAGTTAAACCCTGTGTCCACATCAGAAGGCAGTGATGAAGAACAGCGGCCAAAAGTTGAACAACTGTGTCCTCAGCTTATTTTTCTAAATCCAAGTCAATAATAGCCCACTTCCAATAAAGTTTTGATAGTCCAGTTTCTATAAAGTTGCTTCGATTTAGCCCAAGGAGTTTATTCGTAAATAAACTTGAAAAATATTCATTGAACACATGGAAAGTAACTTGTTAACTTTTTAAAACTATGTTTGCTTATAAAACATGAAAAGGACAATTCTGAACCAAGGGACATGTAGAGCACGGATCAACTTCACCGGGTCCGTGTATCCCCTAGAAGTACAAATTTTCTAGAGAAGGTCCAAAACTGTCCTGTCCAAAACAGTAGCCACTAAGCCACATGTGGCTGCTGAACATTTGAAATGTGGCTACTGCAACTGACTTACTGATGTGTTTTTGTTTTATATAAGTTTAATTAATTTAAATTTAAAAACACAGGCAGGGTAATCTATTTCTATTAAACATTATTGTCTGGGTAAGACTACATTTCACTTTACCATTGAAATTGAGTGCCCATGTATAAATCGACATATAATAGAAGTGTAAGAATGCACACTAGATTTTGAAGACTCGGTATGAAAAATGTAATGTGCCATACCTCATTAACAATTATATATTGATTACATGTTGGCATTATAAGAGTTTTATATTTGGTTAAAAGATTATTAAATTAAATTCACCTGTTTTTTAATGTGTTTTTTTAACTAAAAAATTCAAAATTACCTGTGTGACTAGCATTGTATTTTCATTTGATGGTGCTGGTCCATAGCTTTCATCTCATTCTACAAAAGATTATGGTGGAGGGAAAGATTTCTTAGTGTGAGAGCTCATTTTCATAGTGCTTTAATACAGGTTATCACATTTGATATCTCACCAAAATTAAATAAATAATAATAGCTGCCATTTACAAATAGCTACTATGTGGAAGACAGTGTGGTAATCCTTAAAATAACTTTCTAATACAAATGTCAGCCTCATTTATAGTTAATAAAATTGAGGTTGCAAGAGATTACAGCTTATGACAGTTTTTCAGGACAATGGTTACAGTTATTCTCTAAGGGTTCCATCTCTGTTCCTTCTCATTTGTTTGCTGCTGACACAGTCACCTTGAGCCTGCATCAACAAAGGTTGACTAAAGACATCAATAATTGCAGGTGAGGTACCAGAGAATAAGTATTTTGAGGTGATGAGGAGAGTGTTACTTACAGAGGCAAATTCAATTTCAGCCTGCAGATGCTAGCCTGCCTCTTAATCCTCCTCCTCCTCCCACAATTTAGAGCCTGGGGTATAGAATAGATGAACCACACTAAGGTGTGATGGATAGACCAATATGTATCCGAGTGTTTTCCAAAGAACCTACTACACTAAAATGACATGGGCAGTTTGTTAAAACTACATTTTCCTGGGCCTTACCCAGAGACCTAGGATCCTTGCAAGTGGACCCCAGGAATTTGCCTTCTCAACTAACACTCCCTCCCCTCAACCTGACCCCTAGGTAACTATTAAACTACAATATTTAAAAATCAGTTCCCTAGAAATATTCCTATATCCCCAATCTACTGTATATTGTGCTTAGGTTAAAACAATGCATCCCAGATAGCAGCAACTTATCTCAGTTTCTTCATCTTAAAGGAAATGATAATTACAAATAAACTTTTAAGGTTATCATGAGGAGTAGAAATAATATATATGAGATCTGCCCAAAAGGTACCTAGCCATTTAATATGAAAAATAGAGACATTTATTGAACAAGATAGAAGATACAAAAAACATTATACATAAGACAATAATGCCTCAGTTCCCTTCAAAGTAGATACCTTGGGACCTCACACTGTTCTCCCAATCTTCATCAGCTGCCCTGTCGCATTTTACTGAATCTCAGTGACAGTCTTAATCTCTTCCCTTTTAAAGGTGATTTTAGTTTGGGCAAAAGCCAGAAGTTGCAGGGATCCAAATCTGGGCTGTAGTGGGGATGAGTCACCTGGGTAATTTGATGTTTCACCAAAAAACTCTGCATGAGACATGACACATGAGCAGGCACACTGTTGTGAAGAAGCTGCCAATCACCAGTTGCCCATAGCTGCAGCCTTCTGATTCATCCAAATAGTTTCCATGGAGCAATGTTCAAGCTTAATGCAAAATTTGATGTGATTCATTGTTGTATCTGCTCAGTCGTTTTGAATGTGACAGCCACACAGTACCCGTGCTCACTCAATGGTATCTATGGGCCCTGACAACTAGTACAATGAAGTCATCACTTTTCACACATGTGCATTCCAGTCCACTCTCACTGGCTCATAGGTTGCATCAATGTTGTACAAGCCATTCTCATTATATTAACAATCACTGGACTTCTTCCAGACAGACCACATATAAAATATCTCACAACATGCTTGGCACCAAGTAGATATTAAATAAATTGTATCCAAATAAAACTCTACTAACCAGTTGATTAGATTTATTTATGTGTCAGAGAAGACAAGCACACACCTTCAGCATTCATTGTGTACTTACTTTGTTCTTGGTGACTTACATGCAGCATCATAATTCTTACAATGATATGAAGTAGGTATTTTTTAAAGATTTTATTTATTTATTTATTTATTTTTAGAGAGGGAAGGGAAGGAGAAAGAGAGAGAGAGAAACATCAATGTGCGGTCGCTGGGAGCTGTGGCCTGCAACCCAAGCATGTGCCCTGACTGGGAATCAAACCTGCGATGCTTTGGTTCCCAGCCCGTGCTCAATCTACTGAGCTACGCCAGCCAGGTTTGAAGTAGGTATTTTTTAAAAGGAAGAGAGGCTTGGAGGTTAAGATATTTAACCAAGGCCACACAACTGATTTGTGATAGAAGTAGAGCAGAGGATAGGACTCCAAAAAACATGTCCTTTTTATCTCAACACACTGCCTCTCAGTAAATTCAATAAGTCATCCAGTTTTTAAAAGACCAGAGAAATAAGGGGACTTCTGGTCAAAATGGAGATGTAGTCAGACACTCTTCACCTCCTCTCACAACCACAGGAAGAATCACAACTAACTTCAAAACAAAAACACCCAGAACTGCCAGAAAATCAAACTATGTGGAAGTCAGACAAACAAGGATTTAGAGAAGCAATATTCATCCAGGTGCATAGGAGTAGAGACGGAGAGCCTGGGGGCAGGAAGGACATGGTGCTGCAAAGGGAGGCAGCAGCTGTGTGGCAGAATAAGTGGTGCCACATTCATGTGTGATGGATAAAAATTGGGAGGGATCCCTTGGGAGCAAGCAATCCCAGCCCTAGGCCACACCAGTGCAACCCAGGTTTCCATGTAAGATAAAGCCTCACAACTTCTGGTTATAAAAACCAGTGGGGATTGGGGCCACAGAAAAACTTCTGGTCTCTCAGGAGTGTCCCTTTAAAGGACTCATATGGTCCTAAAATGTACATAAATCCACCCACTCTGTGATTCAGCATCTGGGCAGCAGCTAGGAAGGCACCAGTCACATACAGGAAGCAGGTGAAGTGGTTGGAAATGGGGCAAGTACCAGACAAACCTCTACAAGCCAGGCAGCAGCATTGTCCTCTCTCCTATCCCTTCTCCCCACACAGTGCCACAAAGTGATGAAGTGGGTTGTCCCTCCCTAGCACATACCTAAGGTGCCACCCCTTACAACTTAATAGGTGTGATGAGACAGGGAGTCAAAGCAGCTCTACCTAATACACAGAAACAAACTTGGAGGCTGCCAAGTTGGGGAGGCAAAGAAATATGGCCCAAATGAAAGAACAGAAAAAAACTCCAAAAAAAGGACTAAGCAAAACAGAGATAGCCAATGTATCAGATGCAGAGTTCAAAACACTGATGATAAGGATGCTCAGAGAACTCAATGATTATGGTAAAAGTGTAGGGGAAGAAATGAATGCTACACTAAAAAAACTAAGTGAAATAAAAAAAAAATCCACAGGGAATCAACAGTGAAGGGAAGGAAGCTAGGATTTAGATCAATGATTTGAAACATAAGGAAGCAATAAACATTCAATCAGAACAGAATGAAGAAACAAGAATTCAAAAAAAAAAAAATAAGGAGACTCTAAGAAGACTCTGGGACATCTTCAAAAGGGCCAACATCCAAATCACAGGCATGCCAGAAGGAAAAGATGAAAAGCAAGAAATTGAGAACTTATTTGAGAAAGTAATGAAAGAAAATTTCCCTAATTTGGTGAAGAAAATAGATGCACAAGTCCAGGAAGCATAGAGAGTCCCAAACAAGATGGACCCAAAGAGGAAAACACCAAGACACATCATACTTAGATGCCAAAGGCTGAAGATAAAGAGAAAATCTTAAAAGCCCCAAGAGAAAAGCAGAGTGTTACCTACAAATGAGTTCCCATAAGACTGTCAGCTCATTTCTCAAAAGACACTTTGCAGGCAAGAAGGGGCTGGCAAGAAGCATTCAAAGTGATGAAAAGCAA